AGATATTCGTGCAACTGGCGCAAAGGTTTCATTATAATCACTTAAATATTGTTGACTAAATCCCTTTGCTACCAGTCTTGCCTTATATCTTACTGGATTACCATGTTCATCGATTTATGTAGTAAATACCCACTTGCAACCTACTATGTTTTTATTTGTGGGTTTATCGACTATTGACCATGTTTTATTTAAAAGGAGGGAGTCAATTTCATCCTTTATAGCTAGCTCCCACTGATCTCGGTCATCCCTTGCCTTTATTTCATCAAATGAATTTGGTATTGCATTGGAAAGGGACTTTGCATAGAGCAAATGACTGTATATGTCATTGTTAATATTATCATCGAGATCTTCTTTATAAGTGGGAGTAGGATGATTTTTAACTCTTTCACTCCTCCTTAAATTTACGTTATTTTCGGGAAAATGTGAGACGCTTTTAGACGATTCGCCTTGTTCAAAATGAACATCTGAACATTCAGAATTTTTATGGTTCGTATTGGGCAATAAGGTATTCTCAACTATTGTTGGCCTTGTAATTTTAAAATTGGTCTCGTCAATGATTACATCGCGAGCCGTCAGAAAACTTTTCGTATTAACATTCCACACTTTGTACCCATTAGGATTATACCCCACAAAAATGCCTTTAAAAGATTTGTTATCAAATTTAGTTTTTCTCGTTTTATTATGTATGTAAACGGTAGATCCAAATACTTTTAGCAATTCTAATTGTGGCTTTTTATTATGCCACATTTCGTATGGCGTCTTATTTATTTGCAGAGCAGAAGTTGGCAAGATATTAATTAAATAAGTGGCTGTAAGTACAGCTTCACCCCAAAAAGATTTATCTAAGCCAGAGGTAATTATCATCGTACGTGCTTTTTCAGTAAGTGTACGGTTCATGCGTTCTGCAACACCATTTTGTTGTGGGGTGTGTGGAACTGTTAAATGAAAAGTAATGCCCTTTTGAACACAAAATTCTTTAAATTCATTGGACAAATATTCACCCCCATTATCGGAATACAGGTACACTACCTTACAGTTAAAATGAGCTTCGCCTTTAGCAATAAAATCTTTAAAGACGGAAAGAACCTCTGATTTATATTTTATCAGGTAAGTAACTGTGTAAATAGTGAGTAAATTCGTCAATAAAAGTGACAAAATAATTTTTATCATCGATAGTAATGGGTGATATGGGTCCACAAACATCCGAATAAATTATAAACAAAGGTCGTTGAACATGATTTTTGGATTTAGCTTTAGAGAAAGGCAATCTTGTTTGTTTACCATATATGCAAGCCTCACAGGTATGGTTTGCAGGACTAAGATTGTCAATGTGGTTAACATCTTCTACCATTTGATGTTGCTTTAATTTTAAAAATGATTGGCTACTGACATGACCTAAACGTTCATGCCAAAGTTGGTAGTGTTTATTGTTAATCACATTAATCTGTGGCTCAATCTTAGAACTGCAATTTCTTATTTTTTTGAATGAAATTCCAGTTAGACCATTTAATGGCTTACCTGTTGCCAGAAGTTTGTTACCGTGTTGAATTTTATCCCCATCTTGGTCAAATACAACGGTCATACCACACGCTTGAATGCGGCGAACTGAAAGAATGTTGTAAACTGCATCGGGAATGTATAAAACATTCTCTAGTTTTCCCGGAACACCAAGATTGGATTCGACGTTGATGGTTCCTTTTTCAAAGGCAGTAACAGTGGTTTCATTCTTGGCCACTGCGAGTTGAATCGGCGTGTCTAGTCTCTGGATACTGGCAAACGGATCCCGGCTATTTACAATGTGATCAGTTGCACCCGAGTCTAACAAGAAGGTCAATGTTTTGTATGATTGTTGCTCTGAAATTTGTTTATGTCCAATCATAAAAGCGAAGCCATCAGAAGTATTATTTGATGATGGGATTCCGTGAACTGTTTGCAAAGTTCTCTGTTTTTCATCAGAATTCCTTTTGTAAAATCGGCAGTTTTTCTTGATATGGTTGCTTCTACCACAGTAGTCGCACTGAATATTGGTGGTTTTATACTGAGAAAAATGATGGCTCGCTTTGTTTTGATGTTGGTAGGATGGTTTCCTGAAATGCTTTTTCTTTTTAAATTGCATTTTACCTTTACCATCTGCCGCCGGTAAATGTGTTCCAACATTGAGCACTTTTAGACTGGTGGTCGTCCGATCATTTTTTAATTTAACCTCATGATCGAGCAGCCTGGTTTTGACAAAGGATAAGTTGAGATTATTCTCACTCAATGTTTCCAAAGCTGTGATAACTCCGTCATAGCATGACGGTAGAGTTAACAAAAGGTGTGAAACTTTGTCCATTTCATCAATTTTGGCTCCAGCGGCTATTAATTCGGTGACGATATCATCGAAGTTTGTGAAATGCTGTAACAAACTAATATCTCCGTGTAGTTTCAAAGTCAGAAGTCTCTTTCTTAATGCCAACTGTGAGGCCAAACTCTTCCGCTCATATATTTCATCTTACTTCTGAAATACCTCTCTCGCTGTAGTTGGTCCTTTAGCGAAACCCAAAAATGAGTCGCTCAAGTTATCAATGATCACACTTTTTGCAATGTTATTGTTTTTGAGCCACTCATCACTACGATCACTGGGAATTTCACTGTCAACCACCTGGATAATGTTTAATTCCGTTAGCAATGATTTTACTCGAAACTTCCAAACACCGTACCGGTCACCATTAAAAGGTTGGATGTTTCTTTTGCTCGCGCCGCGATTTTCCATGTTTTCGAAAGTCTATTAATTGCGTTTATTCACCACTGAGTAACAATATTAGTGTTACGCGAAACTGGGGACCATAACCTATTAAATATTTCAGGTTATCAGTGGTTTAATTAAAACACGATAGATACGTTTTAAGGCACGATAATATATTTCAATGTTTCGTCTTAAAACATAACAGAACGACTAACTTAACTTTAGCTTTTATATTTCATCTTCACACCCTAAACCTTTTCGGGGTGTGGGAAAAATACATTTACAACGCAAAAAGTAATACCCAAGTACAATAAATAAATAAAGCAATAAATACCAACCTTTTGGGTTTATTGCTCTTTGTCAATTCTCAGGTCGATTCCTGGTAAGGTAGATTTGTTTTTGTATATTATATTATCCTTTCGGATACATATTTAAACAAAAATGTCATGTCAAAAATCCTGACCAATAAAAAAACAATAATGCGACGTACGTTTTCGTAACGAAAGGAATCCTTAATTGTTTTTTTTTTGAAGACCCGATATCTTGACGTGTTCAGTGTTTCAAAAGTATAGTAGGTATACGTTATACTACATCACATACTAAACATTTCTTGAACTACAAATATTTCATTTTGGTTAACCGACTTCCTTTTATTCGTAATAAAATAAGTGAGTTCTGTTTTTTAGACCCCGTGAACTTTGACCCTCAATGTTTCAAGTTGCCCAAAAGTGCCACCCGGGCACCCCTCATATTATGGGTTCAGTATATCAAATAGTACTCAAATCAATCATAAAATATTAGTTGTACCTTACCTCAAGCTCCAAGCCCATTTTCTCATTTGGCGGCCGGACTATTTGGCGCTAAAAATTGTAGAAATACTGTCCTACCGGCTTAGATTTTCATATAATCTTTGTAAAGTCAATTGAAACAAGATAAAAATAAATTGCAACTGGTGGCTGACTAGTGGCAGTGCATTTCATGAAAGTATTCAATCGCCAGTTGTGATTTTCCTTTACCTTGTTTCAACTGACTTTAAAAAGACTATAAACATTCTACCTGTCAAGATGACAGCTGCAGGTAAAATTAAATTTGAGGCAGTTGTTTTTTTTTGGGAATTTCATACATCTGTCAAAACTGACACACCAACAATAAACTGACATGTTTTAATTGTTGATTCGAACCAATCAGATTGTGATTACGTGATAATTTGCATTTGACATTTTTTGACCAAAAATTTAAATTTTTGATTCATGAATTTCTCTCATGCAATGGAAATATATTTTTAATTTTTGACAAATTTGCACTCATGCGTTTTTAACTGAAAAAGGCACTACATGCACTACATGCACTCATGCTCTTTTTCAACTGAAAATGCATTCGGGCAAACCCCAAAAATTATCGATAATTTTCATTGCACTCGTTATATTACTATTGATAATATTTTTAAAATGTTTAGAGCCAAATATGTTGGAGACGGCTCAACCAAATATAGACAAACTATATATTTTTGGAATCGCAAAAATGTGCTCTTCAAGAAAATAGATTCAAATATAGGGCATTTCATTTGAAAAAAGTTGAAAGAACGCAAAATTTTAGATTTCTGAAAATAATTTTTTTTAACGATGGGTTCTAAAAATTTAGCTAAAACTGCACCACTTTTGTATTCACGCCCATCATCTACCTGTTAAGGTAAAGACTGCAGTGCAGGTGGGGTGCAAAAAAATATATGGAAAAACCATGTTACTGGGTGTTTGTTTACAACTGGAACACTAAGTAACTTTTTTTTCATTGAATTCAAGGGCATGTTTAAGTTGGAACGCCCTGTATATTTTTGTTACCCAAATAGTGTTTGATACTTTTGTGAAGCTAATAATTATCTAAGAACTTCAACAAAAAAAATACTTTTTTGGCGCACCCTGTATACCTATGGCGACACAAAACTATCGTTGTAGCGATTAAGATGGTTGAAATATACCAAGAAATTTTCCATTTTAAACATGCTCTTTATTTTCAATAATAAAAAAGTTACTAAGTGTTCCAATTATAAACAAACACCCTGTACGAAGATATAACTATTTAGGTAACTATACCTATTGTTGATAAATTTTGTTCCCAAATCCCACACTCTGCGTATATTGCAATTTCAGGTCTCCGAAAAGCTTTTCAAGGTCCGCCCGTTTCATGCGCAGTTCATTGATTTGGTAGATTCTGCTCAAAACCGTAACCGTTTTCGCGATATTATCTTATACTAAAAATTTCAGCAATCGCCACTTACTTATTTCCATTTTTTCATTTTCTCCTACAGTTTCAAAATCTGCAATCAAAGTCGAACACACATCTCTCCACGCGGCATTTGTATATTTCGTATTTTTGTAATCTTCTTCATTTTTGTCCCACAGTATTCTATGTTCTTCTACTAATCTTATTAGCAAATCCACATCGACTTCCAATAAGTCAGGCATATTGGCAAAAAATGTTTCGAATTAATAACAAGCGAGAAGCAAATTAACCGGTCCGGAACATCCGGTTCGACGTTCTACTGACGCGAAAGCCACCTCCAACGTATAAAACTCGATTGACGATTGCTTGCACACGGCTCCGTGACGGGTTTTCCAATAAGCAGTCCGGACGACGTACGACATGCGGCGAACGTGCACGGCTGTTGCCGAACGCCGGGCCTCACTTCATAGATAAATACGTAAGCCGTGGCCACCCATGACCATGATTATAAACTATACTACAGTGATGGAATGGCCCACTTACATAAAAACGTATGAGTGAATTTTTGTAACATTGAGACATGTCTGATGTCGGTGATATATTAATTATATTCGAAAGGTGAATTTTTACTAGAAATTTAATTTAATTTAATTTGATTTAATTTTTCCTAGATTTATTATTTTTGCCCAATAATAAAGTGTAGGTATTATAGTTTGTCCCTGCAATCTATTATCAATGAGGGTGATTGGTGAAAACTGATAATGATAATTGAGTCTTATTTTATTTATAAAAAATAGGAAAAAAATATATATTCTATTTTAGAATTTTAAATTAGGAATCAAAGGACAAACAAGTAAGATGAATAAAATAAAAGATGAAAGATTTCTTAAACTTCTTAAATTAAAAAGGTTTTTCACGTAATAGCATAATCGGTTTTGTTTGAGAATAGGCTCTTTCAGTGAGGTTTCATTAATCACGTTTTTTGATATTTTTATGGAGTATTACTCACATATAGCACACAAAAAAAAATCAGCGCAATTGGATAAATATTAAAAAAGTTATGCGGCTTTGAATAATAAAACATTATGCCTCAGAAATTCATCGCTTAGAGATGGTATGACGTCATCTCTCGAGCCAAGACGGGCTAAAGACCGTCACACGACCAGCGTGAGAGATGCAGTGACGTCACCGCGTGTTTCAAAACTTTCAAAGGATAACGCACACCTAACATGGGATTTTTGGGCTCTATGGATTTTGCCCATTTTTTAATATGTTGTAGAGGATTTAATTCTGAACAAGCTTTAAATGGGCGCGTTCAGATTGAAGAGTCTGGGCGACGTCCAGTGCAGAGCGTACCCGATAGAGAGTGCACTCCGAGTGTGCCTGGCGATTCGCCCAATCTGAACGGCCAAGACGCATTCTCTCCTCATAACAACACTATTTATGGGATGCTTTGCTTTGATTTTGATTTTGTTGCCTTTTCAAAATTCACGGTGTGTTCGTGATTCTAACATTTTTGTAAAATAAGAAAAAAGAAAATTCAAAGATAATCAACTCTTATTTTATTTTATTTTGATTTTTTTTGGTAGAACTATCACATATAAAATAATACCTCTTAACCCTTAATTCTTATTTTAATTTATTTCCTATTTTATTTTATTTGTTGGATAAACTCGCCATAACTCCCAACAATAATATTTACAATATTTGCCTTTATTATTGGTTAGAACATAAACATAACACAAACGCGCATGCGGGGCAAATTTTATCTTACTATTGTATGGGATGCAAAAGTGTGCGTCTGGGTGTCGTCAGGTAAAAATCTACTGACAATCTGAACGGCTGGGTAAATTTTACCCAAGGCAATCTGAACGGTCAGAGCGCGCTCGGGCGACAACCGACATTCAATCTGAACGCAGCCAATGGGACGAAATCTTGTAGGTCTTTGAGATATGAGCGTTGAAAGATAAACGTTTTTGCGAATTTTTGTGTGGAGAGTATACAAAATACTGGTGCTTCTGGTGCTTATCAGTCAAAATATTGACAGGTTGACATATCTTACGTCACTTACAAATTAATGTCAACATAGGTTAAGGCAGGGACCGCACTGAGGCCAATGTTGATGCCAGTGCGGTCCCGGCCTTAGCCTATGTGACATTTGTTAGTGACGTGAAATATGTCGACGTGACAATATTTTGACTGATAAACACCAGTTTTTCGTATACTCTCTACACAAAAAGTCGCAAAAAAGTTAATCTTTCAACGCTCATATCTCATAGACCGTAATACCTACAAAATTTCGTCCCATTTAAAGGTGGTTGAGAATTAAATCCTCTGCAACATATCAAAAAATGGACAAAATCCATAGAGCCCAAAAATCTCATGTTAGGTGTGCGTTATCCTTTGGAGCTTTTTGATAATTTATTTAAATATGAACAAGGGCTCGGAAAATTATGAAATTTTGCACAACTCTGCTAAACTCAATACGCTCTTTTAAAATATGTAATAAAAAAAATATGCTGTACGAGCCTATTGACCCGCTAATCTGTGGATTGCGGATGAAAGATTGTCTTGCCAGTCCTTTACGCGTTTCATTCTTATTTGGAATCACCTGAAGGACAAAGGCTTAACTTCCTGTTGAAGCAATATTAAACATTTGTTGACCAGGTAGAATCAACAACTCCAAGGGCAAAACTATATTGTAAAAAAAATCAAGTATATCTGCGGATCAAGTCCCAAACAACGATTATTTCCTTGAAATCACGTTGGTTACTGCTAGAGATTTACGACTTGGCTTGATTTTCAAGCTACTTGAGTTGGAATCAAGACAAGCTGAAGTCAAGTATTTGTTTTTGAAATTCAAGTCAAGTAGTTACCTACATATCAAGTAACTTGAAAATCAAGTTATCATAATTAATCTGATTAACTGCCCAAACGCAATAACAACAAAAATCTATATACAGGGTGTTCGTAAACATCATGTACAAACGTAAGGGGGTGATTCTTTGGTTTAGTTTTTTCTTTAGGGCTCCTACAGATTTTGAGAGATTTAGCTGAAATTTGGATTATAGGTTATGCAATAGGAGCTAAATGATTGCACATGTCAAACGTTTGCCAGAATCTACAGGGTGATTTTTTTTCAGGGGTCATGTCCCTTTTTCTGTCCGTGAACTTCTTTGCGGTGCGCCGCTGGTAGATTCTAAAAAAACTACATAATTTGTCTACCTTATTTTAACTTAATTGATATCTAACTAAACAGTCACAAAATTGTTTGCCATAGTGATATCAAGTACCTACAACCAGGGGTGGGCAAAATAATCGATTAGTCGATTACTTTATTTTTGAAAAATCGATTATCGATTGATCGATTAATAATCGATTAATCGATTATTTTCGATTAATCGATTATTTTCGATTAATCGATTATTTTCGATTAATCGATTATTTTCGATTAATCGATTATTTTCGTTAAATCGATTGATCGATTTTTTTCGAATAATCGATTATTTCCAATTAATCGATTATTTTTGATTGATGAATTATTTACGATTATTCTATTATTTTTTGAGATATGTAATTTTATATTTTGTTTTTTTTTTGCATATTTAAGGGCCGAGTTATTCACTTTCTGATGAACTGTTAGGTATGCAATTTCGCGGATGAAAACGCAATCTGTAATCCAATTGGTCGGCCAGTTATTGGCCAACCCTTCCATAGATTTTCCTCTTTCAATTATTTAGTGCACTACGTATATCTTGAAAAGCGTAGAAGATACAACATCCTTGACGTAGTAGTCCTTTATTCACTATAAGTGTGTGTGAGTTTTTTACCTATCTTAATTCTTGCTTTTGAGTCTTTATATAGTTCTTTAAGGTCCGTTAGGTGTGATTGATGTTGGAGTGTTCTAGCTTTCATAGTTTGGATACTGGATTGTATCGTATGCTTTTTAGAGGTCCACAAATGTGAGGTGGGTTTCCAAATGTCTAGCAGATCTCTTTTCTATGACTTGTTTAGGCTGTACCTGATCTTCCTGCTCTAAAGCCGCACTGCTCTTCTTCTTTTTTCTCTCTATAATCTTCTTCAATGAGATCACGCAGGATTCTACCGTATAGTCTGCTCAGTGTGCTTGTGACTGATATGCCTCGAAAGTTATTGCACTCCATCTTATTTACATTTTTGTGAGTGGATGATATAAAAGCCGTTTTCCAGTCTGGTGGAACGAACAGGATGTCCATTTAGGCATTTATTGATACATTGGAGAAGTAGTCTAAAAATAAAAACTCAAAGTGTTCCGCCACAAATACTTCAATAAATTCAATGAGCTCTCATGTTTCGAGATCAGAAGGTGTCAGTCTCAGGGGCAAATTTGCTCAAATGTTAAAGTGGGGGGTCGCCAGATCATGCATTCTGTAGAGGAAAAAAAGGTCAAAAATATTATTAAAATTAAGTCATTTAAATAAAAAAATGTTTATTAATCTCCTGATCTCGAAACATGTAGGGCTCATTGAATTCATTAAAGAATTTGTGGAGTGAGACTTTGAGTTTTCCTTTTGGAATTTATTGACAATATACATGTGAGACTTCTAAACAGCTTCTCAGTTCCCCATTTCAGCATTTTGGAGTATATCCCTTTCTTTACTGCCTTAACATTGCCGATTTCTATTGAAAAATGCCATACTATATGTGCCATAACATTTTAGATTTTAAATTTGCCATCACTGGTAACATGCAGAAACGGCCGAAAAAGTTACCCCAACATTTCAATTTCATTGTATGACGCGACGCGTTCGGAAATTAGCGTCTGGCTAGAATGTAGTGGGATAACATGTATATTCATCATCATCATCATCATAAGCAGCCCAGTCGCGTCCGTTCCTGAACATAGGCCTCCCCTTCCAATTTCCATCTCTGATAGTCTTGTGCAATGTGTTGTCATCCTCTCCCTGCCCCCCGGTAAATGTCATCTATTCACCTCTTTTGGGGTCTCCATTTGCCGCGTTGGTGTGTTCTTGGTCTCCACTGCATGACTATATTTTTGTCCATCTGTTGTTCGGTTGCCTCGCCACGTGGCCTGCCCATCTCCACTTTTCTTCTGCTATGCACTGGATCACATCGTTCACACCCGTGCGTCGACCTGTGTCGTAGTTGTTCATCTTGTCTTTCAGACTAATGCTTAGCATTGAACGTTCTATGCCCCTCTGAGTGACTCTCAGTTTGTTTGCACTTTTTATGGTTAGTGTCATGGCTTCCAGGCCGTACGTCAGTACAGGGGGTATGCACATGTCATGCACTTTTCTTTTCATGTTTATAAGAATATCTGGATTTTTCAGGATAAAGCGCAACCTTCCAAATGCTGCCCAGGTCATGCTCACTCTTCTGTATTTTCCCATGATAAGAGTTTTAAATATATCTTCCATGGCTAGGGTGAAAAGCTTGGGAGAAATGGTGTCGCCCTGTCTTACGCCTCTTAT